TGTCAAATTAAAATTAAAAATTAAAATAAATTTTATTGCACCAAATATCTCACAAGATAAATTGGCAGTATGTCGCGAGATGGCGTTGTTTACTATTTAGAGTGTTTACTTACGTTCCGAGTTTAATTATCAATCTTGAAACGTGCATCCTGATCAAATTTTTTCGCATTTTTATACTGTTTTGGAACTTTTATACTGTTTTGGAATTTTTATACTGTTATAAAGTTATACTTTTTATACTGTTTGAACCGATTCTAGTAATTTCTACCTCTCTACCGCTCGCCGAAAGCTGGTGCTAAAATTTGGCTCGGCCTGGTCCGACGTTTTCGATGGGGCCAAATCTGGCTCGGGCCAAAACGTCCGTGTGAACGCTCGCTCGAGCAAATCTGGCACGGCCTAATTAGGCTCGGGCCAAAAACGTCCGTGTGAACGCGCCTATAGAATCTCAATAATTTTTTATTCGTAGTTTTTGATAACTATTTGCCAAGATATATGTTGAAGCTGCATCCTAGATGATAGTTATGAATGTGAATAGTAGACCACTGCTGCCAGGCCTGTTGTTTAAATTATTTTTTGGTGAACGTGGGCACACTGCTAGTCGTGAGAATATCATATGAATGTAATTACGTGGTATGAAAAGTCCGTGAGTCAGTGTGCATCTAGACTGCAACTTCAGGCATATGATGCCTCTCAGAGTTTCAATAAAATTTATAGAATTAGTACATGACGCTGGCTCTATGTGTTAGTAGATCGGTGGTAGGACCGAAAGTTGTATACAATACAGTTGACTTTACCCAACCATATGGCTTGAAATATCCTCTCAGGTAATTAGGTTGATACAGTGAAAACATCGTGCTGCTCTTTACGGTGCTTATGCAGCTCGCCTATACGTTCACAAACGATGATGGTAGTTGCCCCAAGTTCTGTGATTTGTACAATTATACCCCCCCCCAAATATGGCTTTAAAAAATGGCTTTAAATTTCTTGTAATAAATGCCTAATTTAAACTTATTTTTGTTTTGAGTTCATAATTTTGTCACTTTTAAATATGGTTTTTAAGACCATCGTCGCGTCTTTCTATACTAATTATTCAATCACTGTTTGCTTGTATATGTGTGTGGGTGCGCGGTGTACGTGCGCGTGTGTGTGTGCGTGCGTACGTGCTTGCATGCGTGCGTGTCTATCAGGGGCCCATGGAAGATCTATATGTTCGTATAGATCGCTTACACTACAGTAATACTTCCTTCCAACATTTAAAATTATATTGTATTCCTCACTACCGCCTCCTAGATGCACTACATGATGATATTTGAATAATGCGCACAAGCTATTGATGCATGCGGATAATATTTGACACCACAGACAGGTGCTAGAGCCGATAACTATGCACCGTAGGCGGTGATGTCGAAAATCATACTTACCTGGCATCGGGGCTTCCATGATCAACAAGGCGGATCCCCCAGGAAGAGGCCTTTCCATTGCACTTCGGTTTGGCTGACTCTTGCGATTCTCTCAAATCGAGAGAACTCGGGTGTATAATTTCTGTTAGCGGGGGACTGCGTTCGCGCTATCCCTCATAATTAAATGAATGATATTGTAATACATTTGGTGCAGTAACTAGTCGAACTTAGGTATTCCTTTGCCAAACAACGAACTAAAGGTACTATAGCTATACGATGCACGAAAGTCGAGACTGAGTGAAGACAGCTGTAACGACGATGAAGAAGAAGAAGAACAAGAAGACGAATCTACCGTGTATGATGCACGCGCCGAAACTGAGTAAGGACAACGGAAGAAAAAGAAGAAGAGGAAGAAAGAAGAAATGAACATTGAGTTATCCAGAGTTTCGCCATACGCGCAAAATGTATGGAAATGCATACGGACAATAAAATGCAGCTGCAAATAGCGCATTATAGAGCCAGAACATTCGCAATTTATAGAATCTCAATAATTTTTTATTCGTAGTTTTTGATAACTATTTGCCAAGATATATGTTGAAGCTGCATCCTAGATGATAGTTATGAATGTGAATAGTAGACCACTGCTGGCCAGGCCTGTTGTTTAAATTATTTTTTGGTGAACGTGGGCACACTGCTAGTCGTGAGAATATCATATGAATGTAATTACGTGGTATGAAAAGTCCGTGAGTCAGTGTGCATCTAGACTGCAACTTCAGGCATATGATGCCTCTCAGAGTTTCAATAAAATTTATAGAATTAGTACACGACGCTGGCTCCTACGGACTATGTGTTAGTAGATCGGTGGTAGGACCGAAAGTTGTGTACAATACAGTTGACTTTACCCAACCATATGGCTTGAAATATCCTCTCAGGTAATTAGGTTGATACAGTGAAAACATCGTGCTGCTCTTTACGGTGCTTATGCAGCTCGCCTATACGTTTCACAAACGATGATGGTAGTTGCCCCAAGTTCTGTGATTTGTACAATTATACCCCCCCCCCCCAAATATGGCTTTAAAAAATGGCTTTAAATTTCTTGTAATAAATGCCTAATTTAAACTTATTTTTGTTTTGAGTTCATAATTTTGTCACTTTTAAATATGGTTTTTAAAGACCATCGTCCGTCTTTCTATACTAATTATTCAATCACTGTTTGCTTGTATATGTGTGTGGGTGCGCGTGTACGTGCGCGTGTGTGTGTGCGTGCGTACGTGCTTGCATGCGTGCGTGTCTATCAGGGGGCCCATGGAAGATCTATATGTTCGTATAGATCGCTTACACTACAGTAGATACTTCCTTCCAACATTTAAAATTATATTGTATTCCTCACTACACTAATGAACAGGGGAGAAGTATTACCAAGAGCGTATTAAGTATGAATACGCTCTGATATATTACATATATAATAATCCCCCGCAAGAATGCTACAGTGACACACATGACACACGCGCTGACAATGCACGCTTATATTATAGATGAAACCAGATAGATATATTGATACCGATTAAAACAGCGTTCGCGCTATCCCTCATAATTAAATGAATGATATGGTTAAATTGATTGCATGCATGCTCCCAATTATTATATTGTCGTCGCATATCGTGTGCCGCTTTGATGGCTTCCGGTGTATTAAATGAAATCCGAATTATATCTGGATGAATGATTCCGCGATTTCTATGAAACGACAATGACTATATTAATCTAATCTCAGTCTTTTGATCGTGCGACAATAGATCACTTATACCATTCAAACACTTCAAAGCAGACTTTTATTCCTACCGTTTTAAAATATATGATATAGCGGATATTTAACTATATACTTACCAAATGCCAAAACATAATCAAGCGCAATGTACGCAGATAGTGACTTTCACTACATATTCATTTTTCACCGTGCAAATCTGACATCACGAACGTTCAGGTAGCAGTACCGAGAGTCCTACACTTGAGGATAAATTTTACACCCGATTACATGGCGGAACATGTACATTCTTTCTAGAATTTCTGAAGACATACATGACCCGCTACATAGTAACATACTATCGAAAACATTAAAAAACCATCTATTATAAATGTTATATATATACTCGTATAATTAATAACTCACGTCTTTCAGCCTTTCTTTGTTTCTTAGAATGCACGTACTGATGATAATTTGAATAATGCGCACAAGCTATTGATGAATGCGGATTAATATTTGACACCACAGCGCACGGTGCTAGAGCCGAAACTAGAGCACCGTAGCGTGATTGTGAAAATCATACTTACCTGCATCGGGGCTTCATGATCAACAAGGCGATCCCAGGAAGAGCTTTCATTGCACTTCGGTTTGGCTGACCTCTGCGATTCTCTCAAATCGAGGAACTCGTTGTATCATTTTGTATAGCAGGGACTGCGTTCGGCGCGCTATCCCTCACAAATTAATTGAATGATATGGTTAAATTGGTTGCATACAGCTCCAATTATTCTATTGGCGTAAGATATTGTGTGCCGCTTTGTCGGTTTCTGGTGGTATTGAATGAAAACTCAGTTATTTCAAGTTGAATGATTCCGCGATTTCTATGAAATATAATTTATATATTTCGCGATTTCAATGACTATAATTTATTAATCTAATCTCAGTCTTTTGATCGTGCGACAATAGATCACTTATACCATTCAAACACTTCAAAGCAGATTTAATCCTACCCGTTCAAAATATCGGATTAAACGTATGATAACTAATATACAGAAAATCAAGCGTGATGCACATGCAACTTATCTCATGGCTTTCGCGTAGTTACAAACATTTCAACACTCTAAAAAGAAAACAGAAAAACCTATATATATAGTAAATTATTTCCACACGTCTTAACGCCTTCGTTTCTAGATGCCTTGTACGATGATATTATTTGAATTAATGGGGGGGGGGGGGGGGGGGGGCGGGGGGGGGGGAAAAAGGGGGGGGGGGGGGGGGGGGGGGGGGGGAAAGGGGGGGGGGGGGGCGGGGGGGGGGGGGAAAAAGGGGGGGGGGGGGGGGGGCGAATAACTCATTGATTAATGCGCGATCCAATTTGGACACCACAGACAGGTGCCTAGAGCCGATGAGACTATGCACCTAGGCGTGATGTCGAAAAATCATAACTTAGCTGGCCATCGGCTTCCATGATCAACAAGGCGGATGGCCCCCAGAAGAGGCCTTTCCATTGCACTTCAGTTTGGCGACTCTTGTCGATTCTCTCAAATCGAGGCTCGGGCTGTATAATTTTTGTTAGACAGGGGACTGCGTTCGCGGCTAATCCCTCACAATTAATTGAATGATATGGGATAAATTTGTTGCAACAGCCCAATTATTATATTGTGTCGCATATTGTGCTGCACTTTGATGCTTTCAGTGTAATAGAAAAAATCTTAGTTTATTGTTGTGGTTGAATGCCTCGTTTCTATGAACATCTAATCTCAGTAGTTGATCGTGGCGACAGTAGACTCACGTATACCATTCCAGACACTTCGAAAGAGACTTTATTCCTATTGTTTTAATATATAGGCGGATTCATTACTTTAATATTACGCAATGGACAACAATAATCAGCCGCAAGTACGCAGAATAGTGACTTTCACTATATTCGATTCTTCCTCGTGCAAATATGACATCACGAACGTTCCAGTACAGTACCGGAGTCTACACTGAATAATGTTACACCCCGGATACACTGGCGGAACATGACATTCTTCTAGAATTTCTTGAAACATACATGCCCGCTGTTAACATGACGTAACTAAGACTATCGAAAACTTCAAATCCATATATATGATTATATTCCCCGCTTTCCGGGATATATCGTAAATTAAAACCCACCGTCTTTAGCCGTCTTTGTTCGTAAGATGCACTACATATGAACTATTGAAAATAATCGCACAAGCTATTGATGCATGCGGATACATATTACACCAAACAAGGCAGGTGCTAGAGCCGATAACTATGCACCGTAGGCCGGTGATGTCGAAAATCATACTACTGCATCGGGGCTTGCCCATGTGATCAAAGGCGATCGCCCAGGAGAGCTTTCCATTGCACTTCGTTTGGCTGACTCTTGCGACTTCTCTCAACGAGGCGAACTCGGGTGTATAATGTTTGTTAAGGGAGCTGCGTTCGCGCTACCATCCTCACAATTATTGATGATATGGTAAATTGATTGCATACATGCTCACCTTATTCTATTGGGTAAGATATTTGTGGCCGCTTTGTGGTTTCCGGTGTATTGAAGATAATCTAAGTTATTTCAAGTTGAATGATTCCGCGTATTCTATGAAACGACAAATGACTAATAATATTAATTAATCTAATCTCAGTCTTTGATCGTGGCCGACAAATAGATCACTTATACCGGCATTCAAACACTTCTAAAGGCAGACTTTGTATTCTAAACCGTTTTAAAATATACAGGCAAATATAGGTAATGTGATAACAATATACAGACAAATCAAGCGTGATGACATGAAAGACTCATGGCTTGTGCGGCCGTAGTCCGGGAGGGAAAGCATTTTCACACTCTAAAAAAAAAAAA